AGGAATGAAGTGTTAGCCTGGGAAGGGACCATGTTTTGGGATTTGGGGGCTGTCGTGTTCGATGCCTTGAGGTCACCTACATGTTCTATTGATAGGCAGATCAAGGTCTTTGATGGGACCAAATTGGCTAAAGATCTCCTCAAGATGTCCCTCGTTGATGTTCTTGGTCAAGCGCTCGACGACAATCTAGTGCAAGACGTCCGATTAGTTTTGAATCTTCTCGAGCAGACAGTGCAATTGAGCCATACCTTGGTGCTTCTGACAACAGGGCTCTGGCTGCGTCCGCGGCTGCGGCTGCGACTTTCGCTGCGGTATCTGCCGTTGCGTCGCGGGGCTGGCGACTGGGAACGCGACGGCGAACGCGAATCGTAGTCCCGGCGGCGAACTGGCGAACGTGAGGCAGAGCGACCTCTGTCGGAACGCGGGGTCGGCGATCGGGTTCGAGAGCGATAGCGGTCGCCAGGCGATCTGGATCTCGATCTCGAAGCCATTCTGACGAGCTGCGATGGTTGGGTGACGTAGAATTTTTGCTGTTGTTGCTCGAGAGAGAAGGCAGTTTGGTAAGGTCCTGCCGCTGTCCGAGGCAGCGCGACGGCCCCACATTCGCGGTCTGAGCGCGCCACGTGACGAGCGCTGATGCTCACCGGAACTGCAAGCACTACGGCGACAGGTGAGTCTCGGTGAGTCACGCCGCCGTTACCTCCTGTGAACCCTGACTTAGAAGGCGTATCCAAATGATTCGCTCTTTCCTCAAACGGAGGGCATGAAGGGCGAGTACCATTCAATTCTGCTGTTCGAGCTGGCATATAATCCTCACTAATATTGTCGGCCACCTTACCTTATGCACACTCGTCAAAGAGTGATAATGAACTAATTCATCCCGCCAAACCCAGCCCGCCTACAAATCATCGATATTGGACTGTAATCTAGAGGATCACGATGGTTCGATCTTAGAGGCTGTTTGTTGAAGCTGAGCTTTAGGCGACTCGTCAGCACCACAGGTGTTGCTGTCATTCTGGTTTCCTTTTGCCTCATGTTCTTCGCGAGGTAGTCAAACATCATGGCCGTTACGATATTGGTGGCCTTATCTCCGTACCCCCTAGTGAACAAGAAATCCAAAGAAAGATTAAACAGTCATTCAACACGTTGCAATGTACTCCATAATGGGTCCAATTTTGTCATATTATTACAGACGTATGGATATATGCTTCTATTGGCATACCGCCTATGATTGTCGACTCCAAGTTGGTGCATCTACGTTTTGCTTGTACGTTGTCGACCACTCAAACAAATGCCTGGGTCCAAACCGCTTGTGCTACTAGTAATACATGGCCCAGGGCCAATTCATGTGTACTTTTGCCCCTGGCCCTATCGACTGTGCCTCGAGGAGATCCCGAACGCCGCTGATGCTTCCTCCCCAAGATCACGCAATAGGTATTAATCGCGACTATTCCGTACATGACAAAAGAAATGCTATGGAGCTCGCTTGTCATTTGTTAAGCAGCCCATTCAACCACCTCCAAGGCGCACATGACAAGCACCAAGGTTGACGGAAGGATCCTGAAAAATCTATTAGTTCTGTTGGAGGGTTCAAGTTGAGGGAGCAAACATACCAGATAACATAGCTCTGGAACAGGATACGAGACATCACACCCTCGTAAACCTCGTTGATCTGGCAAATCTGTGCTAGTTGCAGAGCACTCGGCGCTCCGGTCAACAGGAAGCAGACGATGACGAAGATCGGGTCGTCCAAGATGCTGACGGGAACATACTTGGCAAAGATGGCCAAGATGGGGGTCATGATGAGAGTTGGGAGGAGCATTCGGCACATGAGCGACGCAACCAAAAGCTTAGTGCCGATCTGGTCTTCCTCGGGATCCCTGAGCTTCTCACTCTTCTGGGTGTTGCGGGCGAGGTTAGCTCCAAGAACCACCAGAATCAAGGGGACGGCAACACCACCGCTCGACTGAACGGCGTCGGTGAAGCTGTTCTTGATGAATGATCCCTCCTCGAAGAAGATCTTCTGCAGCGCGGGGACGGAGGCAACCACAACAGCGCAAAGCATGGCCCACAGCGGCGGGTTCATGAATTCCCACATGAAGTTGTAAAACTTTCCGGAGAATCGGTTAAGGGCGACCAAAATGACCTTGATGGGCTCGGGGAGGCTGTTGAAAAGTCTCGCGAAGAAGCTAGCCGTAGACTTCTTGCTCCTAACGATGGCGTTGTTCATAGCATTTTTAGCGCGGGTAGGGTAGCCCTTAACGCCCTCGGGAATGTCGGGTGTATCCGTGTTACGAATGCGAGGGAAAGACGATATCTCATCGTCGCTTCCATTGAAAACGGGATGGTTGCCGTTCAGAGGTGCCAAGCCGTTAGTCTTCATAGGCTTCTTGGGGAGGTATTCGTCGTCCTCATCCTCGGTATCGGCGGGGGAAGCTCTCGATCTACTAGCCACTGGAGTGCGACCGGCGGGCTCGTAGTTGGACAGGTCGCTACTGGAGGGACTGCGAGAGGTGGCTGCGTCGTCTTGGTCATACTCGTTCAGAAGGGGTGCAGTCTCTCTGTCTCCGTCATACTGTCCCTCCTCGACCCGCTCGTCTTGGTACTCGGGGTACTTATCCTTCGGAGCGAGCAGAACGTGGTAGCCCCAACTCCAGCGGACCAGCTGGCCAAGCTGCTGGAAGATCAACAGGTACAGAATACCACGTGCGCCAACCTCATCATCATTGTCTCCGGGAATCTTGTCCCAATGCAATCCCTTGATCGTCTGGGAAAGGGACAGGACCATGGAGATGGGCAGTGAGTTGGAGTTGCCGAAGACTCCCATGGCCGTGACGAAGTTTGAGGCGCGGCGGTTGAAGCCGAACAGACGGGCGACGACAGTAGCCACGAGCCATGAGACCATGGTTTGGATGACGAAAATGATGGGAATGACGGCAAGGTCGAGCAGCTTGTCGGCGTTAAGCTGCGATGCTAGCTTGGTGAAGACTGCGGCTTGTCAGTATGGGTAATACAGGCGACAATATGTGCAGGAGATACATACTAAGACAAGGCGTGAAGAGCATGACATTGAGGTTGGCCAAGAACTTCTGCTTCTCGGCATCAAAGTGGCCAAGCCGGGCAATAACATAGCCCGGCAAGCTTACACACACGACCTCGAGAACGGCCTCGAAGACGAGAAGGACCAGGTGGCCCAGGGACGGGTGGGAATCGTGCGCCTTCTCAAGGGCAAGGAGAGGCATCTCGTATACGTTCTGAGCCATGCTGGCTAGCCGATACGACGCCGGAGACGTCAGGTATTGTTGGTCCATGGCGACTGGAGGTCGGTAGCGGACGATGAATGGATTGGACGTTTGTGGCGGCAACGGGGGACGTCGATAGAAAAGGACGGCGGACCGGAGGGCCGGCGCAAGGTCGTCGTTGCAAGGAGAATGTTCCTCGGCGATGTAGAGGTGCTCTTAGGCTCCTTGAATGGAGGCTTGGCACGGTGCGCGTGGGCCTCTATCGCCAAGCTAGGCGAAGTCTAAGCTGGCAAGCAGATGTTGTGTGTGGTTTCGGGAGGGCAGGCGATGGGACGATGCGCCTGGCAGAGTTTGGGGTATCGCTTTTGCAAGTGGATATGAGTTTGAGAGCGAAGCTTCGCAGTAAGAGTTATCGTTCGGTTCGGAGAGGGGTTCCCGGATTATCGGTGGTAGGAATCGGGCCTCCAGAGTAGAGTTCGGCCTTTTCCACAAGTTTGCGACGATGCTTTCATTCTCTGGCGGACAGAGACATTAGGAAAGTAATATTCGGCAACGGGGGATAATCGGAGATGGGTTCGATAAGAGGACCTCGACGGCAGGAGGAGGTGTGGGAGGGAGGAGAATGTACTGGTTGGTAAAGCACGAGGCGAATGGGCAAGATAGGAAGAAGCAGGAGGGAGGGACGAGAACGACCGAGAGCCAGCCACAGACGGAGGGAAGCACGATGATATGGAGGAGGTGGGTAGATTGATAAAGAAAAAAAAGACCAGACGGGCTGGGTTGGACACACACGCCCACACACACAAACACAGCCGGCAAGGCAGGTAAGGTAGGTAAGGTAGGTAGCGCACTGGACGGACCAACTCCAGGGATGTTGGCGGCTCAGAGAACCACTCTAGCGACAACTCACAGCGATGCGTCACTGTACAGCCCACAGGAAACACCTCCACGGAGACCTCTTTCTGGACGAGGTGGATGGGTCGAGTGGAACAAGCAGGGGCCTAGACTTCAGACCGTAGCGGTTACGGTTGCGCATCGCGGTGGTTTAGCGAACATCAGCACGCTTCAGTCGGCCACCTAGCGTGACTGCTGGTCAGTGCCGTGTTCCACTGTTTCGAGGTGAGGTAAGGTGCTGTCAGGCTGCAGGCAGGCAGGACAGGGCAGACCAAAAAAGGCAGGGAGGCCCCCAACCTCCCCCCCCCCCCCCCCCCAGCAGCCCTGACGGTGGAACACCTCACCTCGCTGCAGCGCCAGAGGTGGGCTCGATTCGCCATTGCGCCGCCCGGAGACAGCTCCCGCTAGAAACGACTGGCGCCCAATCAGAAGCCCCCATGGTGGCACGATGACGACCGACGTCGTCTGGTTCAGCAACTGATACCGAGTAGAGGCCGGGTATCCCAGCAGACAAACTCTGCATGCAAGGTACCCCGGCAATACTTGCTGTCGCCGTTTACTGTTGCTTCCCGCGCTGGAAATGGAACACAGGGCGAACCTCCCCCGTCACATCCATCCAGTGTCCTGTCGCCGTCACACGAGCACCGTCACTTACACCTCACCCTCACACTCCATCAGTATTATGCTTCGTGCACTGCCATTGCCGTCCCCTCAAGCAAGCACGCAAGGCGTTCTCACCGGTGGCCAAAAAGCAAGACACGACAGCAACATCCCTAGACCGATATCAGGCCCGTGGCGGTTCTGATTGGGACACACGACAGGCCAGAAGAAGCGCCGCGCAGCTGATTACTGCCTCTTGGCGACATGGGCGCAGCGGCGACGCGATATTCCTTGGCATCGACATGGTGAGTCTCATCGAACCTAAACCTGGATGACGGACGCGGACGTGGCCCTCCACAACTCGACCGCTGTCTATCAATTTCCATTTCCACCTCCTATCGCGTCCGCCAGCCAAGAAAATCTCCGTCACAGCACTTTACCAGAACCTTGCGCCTTGCTACAATTACCTTAACCTAACACCTTCGCGGTCCAGTTTTCGCCTCCGTTCGTTTGTGATTCATCCGTTGTCGGAAACTGTTGCACAAGCGCCCAGTGCACACGGAGAAAACACTGCTCCCCGACGGTCGCTCCATCTGCGATACTACACCCAGCAGTCAGCGTCCTCGACCGTTTTCTCAGGCACACGCTCGTCATACCACTCACTCACTGCACACATGCACGGCGGAGAGACACACATCCACCCGCCGGATATCTCCCGCAAGGTACGCCGCACGTCAGTTGGCCAGGTCGCATTCGATGGACGGCACAGCAGCACACCTCTGCACTTCCTGGCACTTTATCCGGCCAACCAGCACTCGCAACAACCCGTCCTCCGTTTCTTGATTCTCGACGCCATGAGTCCTCCTTGCCTGTTCCTGTTCCCCGATGCTGTTGATGTGCACCCGTCCGTCCACACTGCTCAGGCACCCGACCCTGCGAAAGCTTACATCCTTTGCTGAGCTGACCTGACGGCCCCCACGGTTATTCTTCCCAGCGTTTTGCGCACGTCGCTGGGGTCCTGACGGTGGATTATTGCCCGACTTCGCTGTTCAGCAGCATCAAGGCTCACGGGCTCAGGGGTCTTGCCGGCAGTTTAAGCTTGTTGTCCGCCGGCAGCAGGGACAGCGTCCTCGGCTGCGCTCACCTTCTGCGTCTACAGCTCAACTTGCATAGAACAATCCGATGTGAGGCCCGTCGCGCTCAGAATCCCCCCGCCGCAGAACCCAACTTTGCAAACAGCGAATTTGCTAAATAACCGCAGATGACGATGCTTCTCTCAGGGTACATGCCTCTTCCATTTGGACAACACCACTGCCTGACCGCAGCCTGATCACAGCTTCCCGCCCCCGATCATAGCGTATCAGATCTTGAACGAGATGGTCATCTCTTGCCGGAAAGCTGCGCTTCCACCCCGCCAAGGCTGATTTCAACACGGCAACCTCACGCGATGGTATGCTCAGCCGACTTGGCTGCCTCCTTTCGTCGGTTGGCATCCAATGTTTTTTCGCCTCAAGCCAAAGGGGCGTTTCTTGCGCGCATGGAACGTTATGCAACTACCCTTTTGATCTGATAAACTCCGCGGCTTTGACTGGGCCCAGCAACGACATGTGGGGTCAAACAACCGCAGTTGATGCTGTTGAAGAGCCCATGACACACCTCGTCTCTCATGATTGTGTTGTTAAGCAACTGGCTGAGAAGGCTTAGCAACAATGTTGTTAGTACAGTTGATGGACGACTGACGAGAAGACCTTCTGGCCCACATTGGTATAGATGCTGTCTCGAAATAACACAAAGGAGGCGCATTACCATTGGAGACCGCGATGGACTTGGAGACGTAGGGGTTCATTTGGTATTGGAGAATGACAGAATCAGGTACGGTGTTGCTACAATCATGGACGGGCACCAGAGACGGCAAGGTTCTCAACTAGTGTTGAGTTTTCCCTCGCCAGGGTTCTCTAAATCACGGACTTGATTGTTCTCGAGTACCCAAAACTGCAAAGAGAAAAAGATTTCTTTTCTTTCTACTCTACTATCACCTATCAAACTGAGTTGTTTGTTTCTTCAGCTTCATGAAGATAGAGGCCTTTGACTGGGCCTCTGGGTGACGGTCATGTACATCGTCGATCTCATCCAGCACGCGGTGCAAGCCGTGCTGAACAATCAACAATGGCAACAGCTGAAGGTAAGGTGCTCTCGCCTCGACTCACCGTGATCTTGATTCACCAGACTATGGTGAAAATCTCTGCCAGCTCCCCGAGCCGGTGAGATTAACCTCAAAACAAAAGCTTTTTTTGCCAAACCAAACGCCAAACTTGTGACCCATCAACTTGCTCATCACAAAACTCACCAACAGACTCGTTTCCCAAGCATCAAGATGGGCCAGCAGAGCGGTACCAACACCACTAGCAAGGAGGCCGGCGAGGCCAAGGACGCTCCCGTCGATGGCAAGCCTGGCAACGCCACCTCCGGCAACGGAACCAGCTCCGACAAGTCCGGCAACAGTGACGGCAAGGGCAAGGGCGAGGGCGAGGACGACGACGAGTCCCACGACACCCACGACACCCACGACACGGCTAACGACCCTCCCCGCCGCCGCGCCCCCCGCAAGAAGCCCGGCGTCGCCTCTGCGCTCGAGACCGCGGACGACGATAAGTACGACGACGCGTGGCTCCCCGAGTACGACGACGGCCCCGCCAACGAGAAAGTCGTGGACGGCGAGTGGGTTGCCGTGAAGAAGCCGAAGCCGACTCGCTAGAGTCGCATTCGACGCTCGTCTGAGAACGCGGATCGCGGATGATCACCGGCTACCCTGTGTCGCGACGCTGCTCTGGGGAGAAACGGACATGGGAGGGTGTTTGAGACTCGTGGTTAAGGAGGTAGGTTTCTCACCACAGCCACAAACTTGTGTCAACGTCTGACAAACGTACAGGCCGGTCACCTGTTCCCAGTACTGCTGATATGGGCGAGAATGATATCTCACCCAACAGTATCAACTATGATGATTCCAACCTGCCACATGCACCAGTTTCCCCCTTGAGTAGTTCCCCAGCTACTCACGGAACTCAATGCTTCAAAGAAGACTTCTCGTATGTCCACCTACTCCTTCACATGATTAGTGTCCAAGAGACTGACGACCCGAAAAAGCGAGTTAAAGCTCTGCAAACTTCCTTTTGTCGCTCGTCCTTTCTGCTCTCGACACCCTTGATTGGCGTTCTCAGATGGGTTTCCCTCTGAGTAGTTCCCCAGCTACTCGGCAGATGAGATTCATTGCGCGTTTCCCCTTTGAGTAGTTCCCCAGCTACTCATGGAACTCATTGCGCCCCAAAACTTCTGGTATGTCCATTTCATTTCACATACCTGCTGCCCAAAATACTGACGACTCGAAAAGCGTGTTGAAGCTCTGCACATTTCCTTTTCTCGCTCGTCCTTTCTGCCCAAGATACCCTTGATTGGCGTTCTCACGCAATACAACTCGAGTCTTTACAAACACATCACGTGCTCCCATGTGTGACCTTGACGTAATGATCGCGATTTCCCAAGTGCGACCCGACAAGCTAGGCGTTACTAGCGGTGCCGCCGAAAATCAAATCGTAGATGAGGAGGGGAAGGGTGCCACGGGTTCAAGATCCATGATATCAATTCGCGTCAAACATGCATGCGGAAATGTCACTTTGCGGTTGATCACAAGCTGGATGGAAAAAGCCTGTCTTGGAGGCTACACTAGCATTGATGATTGTCGTAGCTGTACAAGATCGACAAATAGGCGTGGGGAGCTTCCTTCCCTCCTGCTCGCTTCAGAGGCCACTGGACTCAAGGTGAAACAGATGACAGATGTGGGGAGGGGGGCGCCGATCTGTGCCACGACGCGACAAACCACATGGCTGATGACGCAGAGGGGGTTGGCGGCGGAAGGTATGCCGATGACATGCCAGAATCGACAATTCATTTTGCGTAGTCAGCTCAGTAAGCCCATCCCAAGAAAACCCGACCGAGGAACAGCACAGGAAGAATGGGCCCAAAGTTTGGCTGGCGAAGGGGCAAGACTTTTTTCATGTTTCGAGGTTCCATTGACTTTTTTGCAAAGGGCAGGGTTCTTGCCTGTCTAGGCAGGGCACTCTCCCCGATGACGTGCAACTGTAACCCTTTGTTTTGACAGCATCCGGGGAGCCGCGGGTGGCTGTGAAGCAACTCCCGTGGAGCTGGAGCACCGGAGTGAGGCGCAACAGCAAGGGACCTGTGTTTAATGGGCATTGGGCAGTGTGAGGCTGAGCAAGACATCAGGGACCCTTATTTTCGCGAATGTTTGAAACTTTTGGTTTGCATGTGCGTTATGGCTATCACGACAATCATGGGCTTTCAGAGGTCGAGGAGGTGGGAATGGTGTTGTCGGACGTGGGGCCGTCGTGATGGGAGATTCGGATCGAAGATCAGGAGCTCTGCCACTCCGGTTGAGCCGTTTCGCAAGCTTTGGGAGGGCAAAGGGGGGTCGACCCGCTGGAGAGAAACATGCAGCAAGTAGCTCTGGGGTCTTGCCTGAGGTTCAGCAGGCGATCTTTGTTGCTGTAAATAAAATACCACACGAAGGTTGACGTTAGAAGCTGCAAGAAACCTGACCGGATGGATGCGAGCGACTACGGATCAGATGCCGGTTGGTAGCCAGACGTTGCAATGATGTCAGGCGGAAGAGATCGTCCGGTGTTCTGATAAGATAATGGACCGTTGGATTGGATTATGTAAGGTTGATGTCGTCTTTTTCTGGGGATCTTGATTGAGCTGAAGGCGAGGCGGTGGGAAGATTAGCATGAAGCACCAGGCATATCCGTTCCGTCGAGGGGAGAAATGCAAAAATGTGCGATGCATAGCAATGATGCAAAATCAATCTGCCTTCCCTTGTGATAGCATCGTCCCATATGTTGAGGTCTAGTCACTTGGGGGCTAGCGGCCCCGAGAGAGCATCATGGTCCCTTCCCCCAATGGAGCGAACGTGGAGGAATAACGTCAGTGGGGTTCACTTTTTCCAACAGTCTGGTGGGCGCTTTGGACACCTGTCGGTTCGTCGTCGTTGTCAACCGGCCGGCCTGTCCCATGGATCCCATGGCGCCATACCATGAAGCGAGCTTTCGCGGGAAATTTGTTTCTCGGGTCAAGCCACAATTTTTTTCCGTCCTTCGTCTCCAACCCGCCGACTGTCAACAACGTCATCGGTGCTGGTCCAGCGAATTGCGAGACGGATTGACGCAGCGGAGGGACAGGGGTTGGGGGTTGGAGTTGGGGGCTGGAAGGGGGGCCACGCTAAGTACTTTCGACGGTAAAGCTCCAACTTGGGGGAGAGGATCCATCAAGCCTGGAGCTTTCCTCTGCGTAGTCTAGTGTTGCTGTCTCGAGCTCCCGATGGCCCGATTACTGGTCGAGGGAGGACGAGTTGCCATGCGCAGGCCCGTTCTTTGGGGCCTTTGGCGCGGTAGTTTGGCGGGCTTGGACACATTGACGATGGGCACCAAACGGGGATGCTTCTACTTCCATCTCGTCCATGCTCGAATCTAGCCGTCCGTCGACCTCGTCCTCGTTTCCCCTCGTCCTCGGTTCGGCTTATTCCAGTGTCCAACAGCCAATCGTTTCTGCTGCCTTCATCAGGTAAGCCTCCTCCGGTAGTGAAGAGAAGAATTTGTAAGTGCCTGGTGGGGTTGAGCAGCACGCAGCCGTACCCAACTATGTGTGTGTGTGTGTGTGTGTGTTAGACAAAGGCGAGACATGCCCGCCCCAAGGTCCGGATAGCTGTTGCTTGTTTTCTGCCCCTTATGGGAATAGTGGCGTCTCCCGGCGGCCAGGTTACATCACCAGCCGAATCGGAGGGCCGTAGTCTGACGGTTGCTATTTCCAGCAACATTTATTGAGGAAACGCTGTACAGATGCAGAGTACTACCAAGTATTGGCTGTCGTCTGTGCTAGGGGTGGAGGA